TCATACCATGCCTAAAAATATCTTCTTGACTTGGGGGTAGGTAAAGATTTCTTAAAAGGATACAAGAAGTGGGGGCACCTAGGTGGCTTAGTTGGTTGAGTGTCCAACTTTTTTTTTTTTTTAATGTTTATTTATTTTGAGAGATGGGGAGGAGCAGAGAGAGAGAACCTCAAGCAGGCTCTGCACTGTCATTGCAGAGCCCCATCCAGGGCTCGATCCCTTGAACCATGAGATCATGATCTGAGCTGAAGTCAAGAGTTGGATGCTTAACTGACTGAGCCATCCATGTGCCCCAAGCACAGGACTCTAGATTTTGACTCAGATCATGATCTCACGTTTCCTGGGATCAAACCCTGAGTCAGGCTCCATGCTGAGTGTGGAGGCTGCTTAAGATTCTCTCTCTCTCTCTCTCTCTCTCTCTCTCTCTCTCCTTGTGCTCCTCCCCCTTTCATGTTTCTCTCTCTCTCAAAAAAAAAAACCTACCAAAAACAACCATAAATAAATGATTGATAACTTAGACTACATTCAGTTGAGAAGTTCTGGTCATTAAAAATCTCATAATGAGGGGTGCCTGGCTGTATCATTTGGAAGGGCATGAGACTCTTGATCTTGGGTTGTGATGAGCCTCACACTGGGTGTAGAGATTACTTTAAGAAATTTTAAATCTCATAATGAGAGTGAAGAGAAAGAGAATGTTCAGGAAACGATAGGAGAATGAGTCCACAGGGATAGTCAATGCTGCACACACATCAGGACCCACGCGTTGGGGGTCTTCTTGTGAACACCAGTCTTCAAGCATGGTGGCCTCAAGGAGGTGGCCCATTTCCTTCCACTGGGTGTTATTACTGCCACCGAATGGTAGCAGAGGAAGGAAGGTCAAGGGTATAGGTGCAAAGGCGTGAGTAGGGAGGCAGGAGGGGCCACCCTAGGTTAGGGGCTAGAGACTTCAGAGAAACACGGTCTGTGAAGAGCCCATGAGAAAGACACTGTGATGTATGAACTTTCTTTTTTAAGTGTATTTATTTATTTTGAGAGAGAGAGAGACAGAGAGAGTGAGCGGGGGAGGGGTATAGAGAGAAGGAGAGAGAGAATCCCAGACGGGCTCCACATGGTCAGTGCAGAGCCTGGCAGAGCCCAATGTGAGGGTCGAACTCACGAACCATGAGATCATGACCTGAGCCAAAACCAAGAGTCAGACTCTTAACTGACTGAGCCACCCAGGCGCCCCTGAACTTTTTCTTATTTAGAGAAGTTATCCCAGTGAAGAGAAAAGATATCCGGGGGTCCATTCGAACCACCTCAAGGATGTTCAATGCTTACCTCATTCTAAAATTGATCACGCAGGGGCCCCTGGCAACTCAGTCAGTAAAGCGTGTAACTCTTGATCTCGGGGCTGTGAATTTGAGCCCCACGTTGGGTGTAGAGATTCCTTAAAAAAATAAACTCTTTAAAAAATAATAATAAAATAAAATTGACCATGCAGTGGGAAAACAGACCTTAGAGGTTACTCTGGCCAAAGTCTTCTAGTCCATCTTCAAGGGCATGAAGCTTTATTGTTTTAGCTTTCACATTTGGATCCAGAATCCACCTAGAATTAATTTTTGTGTATCGTGTGAGGCAGAGGTCAAGTTTAATTTTTTCATCTGAATATCCAGTGGACTCAATGTCATTTATTGAAAAGACTGTCTTTTCCCCAAATGCATGGCACTTCCCGTTTTTCTGGGAGAATTTTCTTTCTGGAAGAAGAAGGGTCCTGCCAATATAGGTACAGGTGGGGAGAAGGGCATTTTGCAGAAGTCAGGAGGAGGGCTGGTCAAAGCTGCTGCATAGCTCTGCTTGAGTCAGGGAAGCCTGTCCACAGTGAGTCCTGCCTGAGCTACACGCAGCCCCAAAGGTCGCCAGATCCCCAGGGTAGGATGCAGAACACAGCAGCTGGGTTCTGTCGGGAAACCGGTGGCAGGAAGGCAGAGAACTTCCTGGAGATGCTCCCTCTCTAAAGGGCTAGGAATGGAGGCTGTTGGTGGCTTGCCCATATCCCTTCGGACTTATAGTCCAGTTCCGGTACCTGCTTGCAACATCCTACAACAAAAGCCTAACTGGTGGCTTTTTCTGTGCAGATGGGAAGACAGGCCAGAAGTGCCAGAGGGGCAATCTCCTGGGAGCAGTCCTCAGGCAATTGCACAGGAGGCCTGGAGGATCAGTATCCCAGATTCTTTGCCACTCAGGTGGGAAAGCTCTGAGTTGTGTTCTACGCTGTCTCCCAGAGTTCTCCAGCAGGGCACTTGTCTCAGGTTCTGCTTCTAAGGGAACCCAAACTAAGACAAGTGGGAAAGAACATCATATCAGCCTGGGCCGCTGTAACGAAAAACCATAGACTGAGGGGCTTAAACAACAGAAATATATTTTCTCGCAGTTCTGCAAGTTAGAAGTCCCAGATAAAGGTGTCAAGTGATTTAGTTCCTGGTGATTTATAAGACATCTCTTTGTGTCTTATAGATGGATACCTCGCTGTGTCCTCACATAGTGGAGAGAGAGAACTCCGGAGTCTCTTCCCCTTCATACAAGGACACCAGTTCTGTCAGGTCAGGGCCCCACTCTTCCAACCTTACTTAACCTTAATCACCTCCTTAAAGGTTCTACCTACAAATACAACACATGGAAGGAGGGGTTGGGGCTTCAGTGTACGAATTTTGGAAGGACACGATTCAGTCCAAGGCAAAAGCATCGTTGATTTAGAACTGCCTGCTGCACGGGAGGGAGTGGGCAGTGTTTCATTTGGATGGGGGCCTGAGCACAGTGTTGAGGTCTTTGAGGACAGATAACGCATGTCATTTATATCAACCACAGAACTGGAGTGTGACCACCATCCAGCCACCACCTTCGTCCAGTGCAGATTACAGTTCTGCTGGCGTCCAGCCTGCGAGGGCCTGGGGCAGTGGGAACCGCTCGGAGCCTGATTGGAGCAGGGCCTGGGCTGGCAGGCTTTAGGGTTCTGCAACACGGGCTGGGAGCAGAAGTGAGGGGGAGGCCAGGTGAGCACTGAGATGACCAGAAGGCTACCCCTGTCATGGGCTTGTCATGGGTGAGATGAATCCCCAGGTATTGGCCAAGAACACAAGGGAAGGGAGTGAAGGTCTCTGAATGCCATGAACACCCCATCTGCCTTGGCAAGGGTTTGTCCAGAAGACTGCAGGGCCCGTGGGTTGGGGAAGGACAGCGTTTCCAGAGGCCAGAGCCCAGGAGTACAACCATGAAGAGAGTAAAGCCTGAGGCCTGAAGATGGATGTTGGGCTCCCTGGACAGTGGGTCAAAAAAAAAAAAAAAAAAAAAAAAAATGGCTTCCAGAGTCAGACAGCTAGACCTGTGGGATCTAGGGGACACATCTCAGGGAATGGCGGGAATTCATCCTGGGAGGGGTAAATGAGCCTGGGCATCTTCTCACTTTACTATCCCTCCTCCCAAACTCTGAGATAGGAGAGCCAAGGGTGCCTAGGCTTGGGGGAGGGGGGTGATTGGGATTTGCTCAAAGAGGCAACCTCAGGACCAAAAGCTTCCCTACCCTGCCCTGCCCCAGGGAGGCCCTGCCACCTCCATTCAGAATGGATCTCACTTCTGACCTTGGTACAACTGAGCAGTGTTTGGTCTGCTCTGCTCTGGTTCCCAGGAAGTCCTCTGACAATCCCTGCCTTGGTCCTGGCCAGACAGCTGGGGGTACTGAGTTTTCAGTGGCCAGATCATGCTCCTCACCTAAGCTCTTGAGGCGGAGCCCGTGTCCTAAGTCCTCAGGCCTGTTAGCCTGCCCACCACCCCCACCAATACCTGAGAGCACACACGGGTTACTCAGTTGAACGCTGGGGCTGTTGAAGAAGGCCAAGGTTCAAGAAGGCTGCACGGGGACACGGCTGGGAGGGGCCCCAGGAGAGCTGCGGAACCACTGAGAAAAGCAGAGCCACGCCAAGGAAGCAGGCAAGAGAGGCCGGGCGGCCACCTGCATCTGTGTTTATTGTTCTGATTTCTCCAACCCCAGCAGAGCAGAATATGAGGCCGGTGGCAGCGAGGCCCATTCCATGGTGCTATGAGGCCGGCCAGAGTCATGTGCGTGTGGGGCCAGAGTCCACAAGACAGCCACTGGAAGGAAGACCCACAATTCGGGGGGCTTGGCACTCCCTCTTCGGCACCCTCCACGCCAGAAGCCCCCAGTGGGATTGGTAATGTGGCAAGCATGAGTGTGCGGGCCTCAGAGGGAGCAGCCACGGGGGTCGAGCAGCCACTGGAAGCTCCATGGGAGCCTGGGCAGGCCTCCTGAGGCCACTGGGCACCACCCTTTGCCCCGGAGAGAAGTTGGGATGCTGGGCCAGTTGTGATGGGTCAGACACCAACAGGACCTCTCCCTGAACTGTCCTCTTCCCCACAGTCCCCATCCCCGGCTCCTGCCACCTGATGGTCTGGTCTGCACAAGGCCCATCTCTTCCAGAGGAACCGACCCAGTAAGGCCCAGCATCCCAGGACGTCGGGATGCTCTCCTGCCGAGAGCGTCAGCACAGTGCTAGGCCTTCAACCGGCCCCAAGAAGGGGAGGTGAGAGAAGCCTGTGGGGCTGGAGGCCTGAAGCACAGGGAGGCCTGTTCAGGCCCCTGGGTTGATGTCTGCCCGAAGCCCTGGCTCGGCATCTGTCTGTGCTGCCATCCGGGACATGAGTGTGAATCCCAGAGGGCCCTCCAGTCCGGGCTCGGTGGGGGCAACACCCGCAGACCTGGTGGGGAGAGGGAGAGAAGAAGGTCCTGGAAAAAGGCTGGCTGCCAGGGGACCGGAAACCACTTCACTCCCCTTGTTCAGCTTCGGCCACGGGGGGTGGGGTTGTGTGGCCCCGACAGCTGTCTAGATGGGCCCTGGAGAACGGAGACTCGGATCCCAGGTCCCCATCCTTGCAAAAGTCTTTTGGACAGAGAGTCTATCCAGGGCCAAAAGAGGAAGCAAGACTGAGCCAGAGACCTACCGCGATTAGGAGTAGGCCAGGCCCTGGAGCCCCCGGGCTGAAGAGTGGAACTTGTCGGAATCTTCAAAAGGCTGGTCTGCCGTAAGCAAAGAGAGGAACTGTAAGCTCTGGGCGGTCTGGGGGCCTTATCTGCCTGTGTGCCTCTGGGCAGGGGACAGCATGCAGGGCACTGGTACTTTCTGAGGGCAGAGCTATGGGGAGCCTTGCAGGGATTCGGTCACTCCTAGTCCTGGCCTGGGGTCAGCACTGCAGACAGGTGCAGCTTGCCCTTCAGACCTCTCTCAGGGGGTGCAGCCCAAGCCCTTGCTGGCCCAACTTCCTCAATTGAAAGAGGAGACTCTGGGCTCCTCTTCCCAGCCCTGCTGCTTCCAGAGGGCCTGGGTGAAGGTGAGGAGACAGAGTGCCAGCTTAGCAAAGAGGTCAGCCCCCTGGAGTACTGTCACCTAATGTGGCAGCAACATATCTCCCTCCCGTATGCCCACAAAATTCATCACTTCGGTCACCCTCGCCCCTGCCTAAACCCCTGCCCTCCATGATCTCTCTGCTGGTAGGAGCAATCAGTGGCCCTCTTCTCCCCAACCTTCACATTTTAAGCTCCAGACACACTCAGGTTAAGAAAAATTATCTAGAGGTGCCTGGGTGGCTCAGCTGGTTAAGCCAACTCTTGACTTCAGTTCGGGTTATGATCTCATGGTTCGTGAGCTTGAGCCCCAAGTCTGGCTCCGTGCTATCAGCGCGAAGCCTGCTTGAGAGTCTTCTCTCCCTCTCTTTCTGCCCCTCCCCAGCTCGTGCGTGCCCTCTCTCTCCCAAATTAAGCTTAAAAAACAATTATTCAAAACTTGGAAACAAGAAAAAAAAAAAAAAAGACTGTGCCCTTTTAAATCATCCTAGAACATTCTCTAACGAGCCTATCCTAAAAGTCATCTTATTCTAGGGGATGTGACTCTTCCTGACTCACTATACACTGCTGGTCAGGGCCCAGCATTGTTAAGTTGGATGCTGACTTGAAGGAGATAAATGACAGATGACGACCATTTCACTAATGGCATGTGGGAGGGGTGACATAGTCTCAATTCTACATCTATAAAATGGGGGCAGGGGGCGCCTGGGTGGCTCAGTCAGTTAAGCGTCCGACTTCGGCTCAGGTCATGATCTCACGGGTCCAGAGAGTTCGAAAGCCCCGCCAAGTGGGTTTGGGCTGATGGCTCAGAGCCTGGAGCCCGCTTCGGATTCTGTGTCTCCCTCTCTCTCTGCCCCTCCCCCCATTCATGCTCTGTCTCTGTCTCAAAAATAAATAAACATTAAAAAAATTAATAAAATGGGGGCGGGGAAGCTGGGTTGAACCGTATTTAAGGTCAGTCCCCTTCCCTCCCACCAGTGACCCAGTTTCTAAGGGCGGTGTATGTTAATTTCTCCTCTGTGGACAGAGGCATAGGTCAAAAGACAGTAGCCTGTCACAGGTGTGTGTGGGGTTTCTCCAGCTCCGAGTGTTGGGTCTTTGTTCTGTGCTCAACCACCAGGTGGGGTTGGGGAGGGTTTCCGGCATCTCCTCCAACTGAGATTCCGACCTTCTGTTGGCCATAACTGGCAGTTTCAGAGTGGCACTCCCTGCAAGCCAGTGTGTGCCTAGGAAGTGGGTCTCTGATGGATCGAGACCCCCCGCGAGAATTCCCTTCTTCTCTACAATGGTAATCTCCAGGGAACTGGCCAATCAGCCCCAGGCTCTGGTGAGAGGACGGAGGGGCTCCCCTGAAGCTCCCCCTGCTCCACCAGGCCATACATGGGCAGCATGGATCACTCCACCCGGGAAGCCCCTCCGGGCTCTGGCCTGGGTGGGAGCTGCTGGTGGCGCAGCATCGGGTTAAGGCGCCTCTGTTTGACAGCTGAGACTGCAGGCGTGTTGACAGGCGAAGGAAGTAGCGACGCCAGGCAGCAAGGCCGTGAGGACATGGATGAGTGGCAGCTGTGGGGGGGCTAGAGGGCATGACCTGGCTACAGCGGGAGGCAGGCTATAGGGAAGGAACACAAATAGGAGATATAATCAGAGTGAGAGCCAGTTGGGGGCCCGGCAATGGCAGAGTGGGGTCTCCACGGGCTGCTGACCCAGGCACCTGAGACTCAGACCTTACTTCATGGAATGGGGTGCTGTGAGAGGGTCCCGGGGAGACCAGCATAGGGGCGGGTCTGAAGGTAGTTAGTGTCTGGGGTTCCGGGAAGTAATTTCAGCTTCTATGGAATGCCCCAGACCCTTTCAGGGCTGTAAATGACAGGCACACAGACCAGCTCAAAATAAAAGGAAACCAGAGCAGCTCTCAACAACCAAATATTGGGAGGTGCCCAAGATGAATGATGAGGAAGTGATGGAAAAGAATAGGTCAGTTCCCTGCCACAAGTTGATTCTGAGATGCTAAGGAGAAACATTCATGGATCTTGGGGTACTAAGGTTAGAGCTCAAGATCATGTTCAGCAGTTGGGGCAAGTGGTCAGGGATGAAGGGGAAGTTTGGGGTACACGCCACACCTGCTTAAGGCTCCCCCCCCCCCCCTGTAATTCCCAAAGCTCACAATATAAGCTAACTTTCACACATGTTTCCCTTCCTCCCACTTCCCTCCTCCCCTGCCCCACCCCCCCCCCCCCCCCAGACACTTTGTTCTCTTTCGACCTAATGCAATTCCTTGTCATCTCTCCTGCCTGGGCCTCCCCCTGAGGCCTCCTATAGAAGTCCCCCCTCCAACTTAGTCGATGAACAAAAAACAGATCCACATTCTTGATCTTCTTAGAGCATAACCTGTTGGCCATCCAGGCTGGGAAGCCACTGGGAAGGCTGGGAGCCTCCTCCTCACAGGCTTTGCCTGCCCCTCCTTTCTGCGGCCTCTCTCCCTGGGCTTGCCCAGGGCATCTCTGGATAGTCCTTTCTACATCCTCATCGGAACCCGACTCCCTGCCTCTCTCTTCTGCACACCAATAAAGGCTGATGAGGGGCAGCCATGGCTTGGCTGGGGTGGGGGGGTGGGGGCTGAAGGAACCAATAGCTTGAGAAGGCTGCCTTTGGCACCTAAGCACACCCCCACTCCCCTTTTGAAAAAGCGATGCCTTCAACAGCTACCCCTGTTCCAAATGTCCTCAGCTTCATGGATCACCATCTTTTTAAGACAAGGCTCACTGCTAGCTGATGAGGCCCATGGAGCTCCATGAAGGGCCTGAGACAAATGCCCGAAAAATGTACTGTATCTCTCAAGGCTGGGAGCTTATGGGAGTGGATGGGGACATGGGTTAGTACTGGTCACAAAATGGGACCAACCCTGAGGCAAGTCCAGGGTATCCCCAGCTACTGCTGGAAGCAGGGGGTAAGCAGCCCTAGAATTCTTGATCCTCTGGCTGAATGGGGGGAAACCCCATATGGGGTGGCTTCTGCCCACTGGGGCAGTGTGTTCCCCACTGCTGACTGCACTGTGAGTATGGTGGAGGGAAAGGGCTGGTATTCCAGGTCCCGCCAATATAAAATTCAAAGGGCACCCAGAGAGTTTGTAAGAATGCTGTCCCAGATCTGAAGGAAGTGGGAGAGGCGGAGCCTGGCCTGAGCAGAGGTCCAGGAGAGACAGGGGTCTTAGTAGGGACAGTAGAGGTTCGTGGCCTGTGTAAACACAGACATACGGGGCTTCAGGTCCCAGAAGCTGAGCCCAGGCCATCAGGAGAGTCAGGCTCAAACCGACAGCCAGAAAGAGCAGTACCCAGGATGGAAAATCATACACTCTTTCTAAATTGTGTCTGGGCACTTCATGCACAGTGGCACATTCAGATCTGAGAACAGACTCTAGGCACGGGTGATACTGATCCCGTTCTACAGAGAGGAAACTGAAGTTGAAAGAAATAAAGTAACTTGTTGAATGTCAGACAGCTCCTGATTGGGACTTTCAAACCCTGTATCCATCTGTCTGACCACACAATTTGCCTGCTCTTCCCAGCCGGATTGCAGGGAGCCACAACTTCCCTCCTCTGACCTCTGTTTCTCAGACCACGGGGGACAGACAGGTAGAAGCCCATTTTGATTGAGCCATTAGTTCCCCAGGACCTCCGGCAGGGGGCGCCAGCCTCCTCCCAAAGTCCCCGCATAAGATGGAAAGGTGACGGTCCGCCAGGTTTCAGCTGGATGTCGGTACCCCCACCCCCCAGCCCCGGTAAAGGCCCTTTCAAGGGGAGGGGAGGGCTAGAAGCGATGCGTGCAACTGGAATCCTCAAAGAATAAAGGTGCGAGAACTGCCCCGGCCCCAGGGCCCGGGATGTGCAGCCAAGGGGTGGGGTCGAGGGGCAGGCGTCCCACAGCAGAAACAGGTCACACGCAGAGACGGCCGGCCTGGCTCACAAGGGCAAGGCCAGGGTCGACCGTGGTGAGACAGCCGCCGGAAGCCCCCCACCCCCCTGGGGCTGGGAGGGGGCAAGGCTGAGCCCCATGCAGCTCCCCGGGCAGGGGACACTCACTGGCGAAGGGTGAAGTGGCCGTGGAGCCATTGAGGAAGCTAGGGGACCCGGGCACGCCGAGGCCGGCCACGCCCGGCGCCCCGTAGCTGCCGAGGCCCGAGCCGAGGCCGCTGCCGTAGCTGCTCTGCTGCGAGCCGGGGCTGGGCGCGAACCCGCGCGGGGACGCGCTGCTGCAGCTGCGCGCGTAGCCTGCGAGAGAGGGCGGTCAGGGGCGCAGCGCGGGCGGGGACCCGGGGCTGCGCTCAGGGGCGGCGGGACGCACCCGGCTCCGGGCCCGGCGTGGCGTCCCCGACGGCGATGGCCAGCGGGCTGCTGAAGGCGTTGATGCCCACGACGGCGGGGTGTGGGTGGCTCGGGGCCAGGGGTCCCAGCGGCGCGGGCGCGCGGGGGGCGCTGTACAGAGCCTCGGCCACGTCCGCCGCGCGCTTCAGGAGGAGCTCCTGCGAAGACAAGAGCGGGGCACGGCCGGGGCAGCCGCAGGCGCCGGGAGGGGGACAGTCCCCGGCCTGGCGGCGCGAGGAGGCGGGCGGAGGCGCCATACCTGGTTACTACTGGGCACTCCGTACAGGGCCTCCGCCAGGTCGGCCGCCCGCTTCAACAGCACCTCCTGGGGGCGGGGGAGGAGACAGCGGGATGGAGGGACAGCCCCGGGGTGGGGGGTGGCAGAGGGGCCGGGCGTCCCCTCCGCCCACCCACCCCGCCCCTGGGGCCACAGGACACGCTCATCCCCGGTCTGCTGTGCCCCGCTGGGTACCTTGGGCAGCCTCTCAGGATCTCCGGGGTGTCTGGGGATGGCTTTCTGTAGCCTCTGGAATCCGTAGTCGATGGTGGGCTCATTCAGGGCTGGGGAGAGGGGCGGCGTTTTGGAGGACCCCCTCCCAGCGCGCTCCGCAGGACCAAGCCGGCCGGCAACAAGTCGGGGAGCCTCGCTGCAGACCCCCTCCACCAAGCCTGGCCCAAACCTCTCGGAATGCTCCGGGCACACGGGTCAGCAAGGTTCGGTTCGCGGAGTTTCCTCAGTTCATTTCTTTGCTCATTCATTCAACAAATATTTACTGAGCTGGGCCCTGTGCCAGGCGCTTGGCATTAACACACAAGCACCATCCCATCCCATCTGTGGTTCGAAAAATGCAACTGTATGTACGTATTAGCGTCTACAGTCCTAGGGGCAGGACTGGAGGGAGAGTTTTCTGTCTCCATTACCAGGAATAACATATTAATTACAAAAGTAAAACACCCCAACAATCTCCATTTATCACAGCTCAGGTCACAGCATGTGACCATTAGAAGTTTGCCTGTGCGCCAGGGAAAGGACTGGCCACATCCAGGGTTCTGCAGAGGAGGCAGCAGACTCCTAACTAGGCTCCCCAGGACTTCCTTCTCTCCTCCTCCTGGCCTGGCCAGGACCAACTCACCAGCCTCAAGGCCCTACCCACTTTCTTCACCGCCAACTCCAGATTTAGTGAATTTCCTTTAGTTTCCCCCAGAGTGTAAAGCACGCACTCATTCCCATGTCTTTGCATTTGCCACTCCTTCTCCAGGACTGTCTTTCCTTCCCCATCTCTGCCTCCCTATTCACCCCTCCCGTCTCAGCCTGAGTCCAGTTAAGCCCACACTCCCTCCTAGAGGTCCTCCCCTCCCAGCACTCTGCGTGTGACTCCACTCACCTCACACTTTGTTCACTGCTAGGGCCACCCCTACCCGCTTAAGACCGTAACTCCCTGACGGTAAGTATGGCTACTGAGTGTCGGGTGCTGGGAAGGATTAGGTGGTTATCTGCAGGGAGGAGGATGGGGAGAAGTGGGTGGCTGGGACAGGGCAGGAAGATGAAGGTGGAGAGGGTCCTGGTGGGTAGTCAAATAGAGCCAGGAGGGGGGATTCGACACTCCTGTCTTGTGTTAACTTCTTGCCCTTGCTTCCCGCAAGGGGTATTTTGGGGGGCGGGGCGTGCACCTGCTTATGCCCACGTAGAGTGAAGACTGAAGTGGCTTGGGGAACCAAGAGACCCAGGGAAGATTAGGGAGCATCGAGCCTATTTGGGGCACCTTTGAAATAAACATGCCGCTGGAGATATTCTAGACCCTGGGGAATGCGTGGGGGGGAGGGGGTAGGGTGGGGGTTGTCCTGGCGAGGAGGCCCTAGGCAGGGGGAATGTCCCGA